TCAGAGCTCTGGACCGCGGCCACTCCGTCAGGGTCCCACCATAAGCCTGACTCTGAGCACCCTCTCCTCCAATAGTTGGTTGAAGGTACGTCTGCCGTTTGTCCGGACTGCCCCTGCACTGGCGCGCAGGTACTACAACTCCCAGAGGGCCACTTGTCGTGTCGTATTCCGGGCACCGCTTTCCCACGCCTCGAAGTATTAGAGATTGAAGTTCGATTCCTGGTGTATGTACTTATTGCCCCTTGTGAGTATTCACTGCTGCCCACTGTCGCCATGGAGGTCCTTGTGGTCATCACCTAAACGTGGAGGTGGGCAGAGAGATAAACAAAAGTAGAGGGATATAAAGGGAGCTGAGAGAAGTAATGGGAAGTTTCGATTGTTCCCTGGGTTTCACTCCTGGAAATGGAAGAAAAACGGGTCTGGGTCCATCCGGACACCTCATTACGCTCCCAATTACAGAGACTCCAGGACAGTAACATAACATTCAGGTTTATGTCTTTGTTGAATATAGAAGGTACATCATGACATTTATTTTCATTTGCTTCCAGGACTATGTATTTGTGAAAGTGGCTTGTGTGAAATTCACGCTCAATACTTACGACCCACTGAGGCCCCACTCCCGGCCCCTTGGTGTAGCTTGTCCTGCTGGGAGTTGCATTCCGTGAGTTGCATTCTGCAGCTCCGTAAGTACAGAGTCAGAGCATGACACAATGGACTACTACTCTCAGAAAGCTTCAACTTCTACGAGTCACGAATTAATGGATCCGCACCTTGCGTCCAGGTCTCTGGAGGGGCGCTGGAACTCACGGAGTAGTAGTACCAGGGGTCAGAAATCGTCACCTAGTGAACATAGTATAAACAAGATTTTGTATAACTTCCTGATTTCTCAAGCCCAGGTTTTCCGGACTCTGCGCAGCCGCTAGATCGTAATTCCAGCTCAGCGATAGCCTCTGGAAATGATAAAGATGAGAGCAGCCTAAGGTTGGCCAGGGAGCCTACCCTACTACTCCCAGAAGTCCCTTCCCACAGAAATCTGGGGCCGCCCTCTGTTTCCTCCTTCAAGAGAGCCGTCTTTGAGAGGTAGTACGGGGCTCTAAGCACCTGACTGTGCTACCTCATGGACAAGGTTAGTCTAACCACGATTCCCTACAACTGCGGGAATTCTCAAAACCTAGGTATCTTGGACTTTGATGAGCCTCCCACCGCCCTTTTCCGGAGGTTGGAACGCCCAACCAACGGTAGCCTCTCGGAAATAAAGAAAAAGCCTTCGAAGCATGGCTTACACCGAGCTGGGAAACCTGAACCTGAACTCCCAGGAAGTGTTGTTCCCAGGTGGGTTGGTTTGTCTGTAGCTGTCCACTGCCTCCTTACGCTGGGAGGGCTCAGCCTTTTCGTAGTAGGAGGCACTAGGTATCCGTGTTCACCATCTCTGGTGAACAAGGTTAGTGTAATCGTGATTTTCTGTAACTCCTATATTTTTCAACCCAGGCTTCCTGGACTCTGCTAAGCTGTCCACCTGCACCCTTCTGCAGATTCAGATGCCTACTCAAATGTAGCCTCTGGGAATTATATATAGAGAGAGGTGTCTCTGAGAGCTTTCATCCTGCCTGAGAGGCTGGACTGCAAGTCTGGAAGGCCCTGTCCCTGACATGGGCCTGATAGTGCTGGGCACTTCCACTGCTACGCTCCTGGGAAATGCAGTTGGCCTCAATAGTAAAGATAATGATATCTCAAAAATTGACCTGTTAATCTACTGAATCCTAAAATACCTTTTAAATAGTTTCAGAATTGCTTTTCTCAAACTACAAGAAAAACAACCTAAGGAAAAGATTTCAGGATGGATTCCCTAACCACCACCACCCTGCCTCACAAACAGTGACACACAGACACATAGCCAGATGTTTCCACTCATTCTCAGAGAAAGCTGGGTTGACTCAGTCATTAGTGGCAATGAGTGTGCGCTGAGGGTCTCAACGACTAACCAATGGTGCAGGCACCTGAAACCCATATAATTTTATTAACCAGTGTCACCGGAATAGATTCAATTAAAAAACCGAATATAGCCCCCGGCTGGTGTGGCTCAGTGGTTGAGTGCCAGCCTGTGAATCAAAGGGTCCCTAGTTTCGATTCCTAGTCAGGATACATGCCTGGGTTGCAGGCCAGGTCCTCAGTAGGGGGCGCATGAGAGGCAACTGCACATTGATGTTTCTCTCCCTTCCCGTAACAATAAAATCTTAAAAAAAAAAAAAAAGAACCCAGTAGAAAACACGTGCAGAGAAATGAACCACTGATAAAAATGCAGAAAGGGGCGGCACCAAGAGTGTGTTCTAGGTCTTACCACTGGACTTTGGAAAGCTGAAAAATGTAGAAACAATGGGACTCTGAGCCAGGACTCAAAAAGGAGGTACCTGGAGGGCAAGGGACAGTTCCAGGTGGGCTGACACAAGGAATGGGCAGAGTTCATGGGGTAGGGAAAGGTAAATCACATACATGGAAACCTGGTATTTCATGGGAAGAAATGCTTAAATACCCTATTATAAACTGAATTTCAACTTCCTTATCCCCAAACCTATGTTGAAGCCCTATCCCCAATATGACTGTATTTGGAAATAGAGACTTTATGGAGGTAAAGTCAAATGAAGCCATAAATATGGGGCACTAATCTCACAGGTGGAGATCGTTCTCTGTACTTTCCGTCTGTCCAGAGTGATGGTCCTTAAATCAAGAAGCAAATAATGTTGTACTACAAAGTCTCTGGAAAGGGTTCCTTGAAGAAAAATCATGCATCAGACGGAGGATATACAGACATGAACTAGTGACAGGTAGAGGGAGCAGTCCCTTAGAAAGCAGAAAGTGCATTTCTATAGTTCCCGAGAAGGGCAGTATGTTATGTGTTTAGAGCAGGGCCCTCATAATATAAATGGTATGAGTCAGCCTCATCATGCCCCCCCGCCCAAAGATTTGGACTCATTTGTTGGCATGCGAGGGCCAAGAGTCTGCATGTATAACATACACACTGGTGATTTTCATGACAAAAGTTATGGGTCCCACTGTGAGAGACTATTTTTCAGAAAAAAACAACCAGGGTCTATGTAGCTGGCACACAGACACCTGGGGTAGACTGAAATCCAAAGGTGGGCAGATGCCCAATCTTTCAGCACCTTGTCTGTCACAATTAGGGTTTTTCTTTATCTGGAGAGTGATAGGAACCACTGGAATATATGAGGCAAGAGTGACCCAATTGTATTTATAGTAAAAAAGCTTCCCAACCTGATTGGTGTGCCTCAATTAGTTCGGTGTTGTTCTGCAAAGCCAAAGGTCACCCTTTCAATTCCTGTTTAGGGTACATGCCTGCACTGGGGGTTTGGTCTGCAGGTGGGGCACATATGAGAGGCAACCAATGTGTTTCTCATGTCATTATTTCTTTCCAGCTCTTTCTCCCTCTATACATAAAATTAAAAAGAATATCTACCAGAGTGTTATTAGTTATTATTGCCATGCGGCAATAGTCGAGTGGCAAAACACCATTTAAGGGTCATGGTTGTCAGGAAGACTGCTTTTAGAAGATTTAAGGTTCATTGAAATACTATGGACTTTCCACTTACATGAACAAAAACTTATTAAACACCAGGATGAAGAATTAATGAAAAAAAAATGCCTCAAGAAAGGATTAACTTGCACATTTCACCAATAGCTGAATCTTGCAAAATATACCAACGTGGAAATGGTATTGCTCATGAGAAAGGACTTAGGAAAAATTTTGGTCTTTGTGTGCAATGGCACCATCTGTCTAATACCTGTGAGTGCTGTAAAGAAATTTATAGCACAGAACCAGCAAAAGCCATTGCAGAACCTGCAAGGAATTATGGAAGTTGTATTTCAAGACTTCCTACAAAAATCTCTCCAATTCCATTGCATACAAGGATTAATTTATTGCAAAATAATGCCTATAAGTAATTTAAAATCTGTTTATAGTACAAATTTTACTGATACTTTGTCATATGGGATTCAAATCTGTGACTGGTTGCTGAGTACCTCAATCTGTTTACACATAGACCAAAAAACTTTATACTGACAAAGTTCAGTATGTGTGGTGATTCCATACAGATGCCACTCGAATGTGTGGAAAACTGCCATTATTATTTTTATGGAGTATCAGTGTCATTTTGTACCATTCATAAGCAGTTCTCCCCACTCAAGAATTTATGGTAATGTTCAATAATAAAGTTGGACTGCAGTTAGTTCTTTTATTTTTAAAAAAGATATTTATTTTTAGAGAGATGGGAAAGGAGGTAGAAAGAGAGGGAGAGAAGCAATCGATCAGTTGACTCTCTCTCACCCCCAGCCACGGACCTGGCCTGCAACCCAGGCATGTGCCCTGACCTGGCATCAAACTATGATTCAAACAGCAACCTTTTGATTTGTGAGATGATACCCAGTTCACTAAGCCACACCAGTCAGGGCTGTACTTAGTACTTTTATAGGAAAAGCATTTGTTGGGGTTTTTACCATTGTGAAGATCTAAAGTTTGGAATCCAGTGAATCTGTAGAAGTCATGTCCAAATCCAATACATTGTTCCACTTCTCCTTTTGTGGATTCTATAACATACTATTGGTCACTCACATCTGAAGGTCTTCAACATTGTCTACACATTTCCCTACTGTCAGGATGATCTGTGGACTATACTGTGTGTGAAAGCGTGTGCATAAATGTCTGTCATCTTCCTTATGAGTATGTCTGGGTCAAGTGTAGGAAGGGATGAACTATGGCTTAAGGCTTCCTATGACTCAAATTATGTAGAGTGCCTGTTTCCAGTATGTGTTCTCTGGCCCTTTTTCAGGGAGGAGCTGTGTGAAGGACTTCCCACAGTCCCTGCACTCACATGAGTGGATTTTCCAGTGCTGAGTGAGGTGAGTGCTCTGTTTGAAGGATTTCCCACAATTTACACACTTGTGTGGCTTTTCCCCAGTGTGTCCTCTCCTGCTGACTCAGGAATGACTGAAGGACTCCCCCCACTTGTTGCACGTGTAGGGCTTTTCCTTAGTGTGAATCCTAAGGTGTTGTATGAGAGGGGAGCTCTGGCTGAAGGCTCTGCCACACTCATTACACTCATAGGGCTTCTCTCCTGTGTGGGTCCTCTGATGTAGAATGAGTGAAGAAAGCTGTCTGAAGGCTCTACAACATACGTTACACTCATAGGGCTTTTCCCCAGTGTGGATTCGCTGGTGGTTGGTTAGGGATGAGCTGTGGCTGAAGGCCCTGCCACAGTCACTGCACATATAAGGTTTCTCTCCTGTGTGGATCCTTTGATGTAGAATGAGTGGAGAGAGCTGGCTGAAGGCCTTGCCACAATCATTACACTCATAGGGCTTCTCCCCAGTGTGGATTCGCTGGTGATTGGTTAGGGATGAGCGGTGGCTGAAGGCCCTGCCACAGTCACTGCACTTATAGGGTTTCTCTCCTGTGTGTATCCTCTGATGTTGACTGAGGTGTGTGCTCTGCCGGAAGGTCTTGCCACACTGACTACACTCATAGGGCTTCTCTCCAGTATGTGTCCGCCTGTGGTGACTGAGAGATGAACTGTGGCTGAACGTTTTTCCACATTCATTACAGCTGAATGGCTTCTCTCCTGTGTGAATCTTCTGATGCTCAGTCAGAAGCGCGTTGTGGCTGAAGGCTTTTCCAAACTCATAGGGCTTCTCTCCCATGTGAATCCTCTGATGTTGAGTGATATGTATGCTTTGTCGGAAGACCTTCCCACACTGACTGCACTCATAGGGTTTCTCACCTGTGTGAATCCACGCCTGTTGGCTGAAGGAGGACCTAAAATTGAAGGACTTCACACATTCGCTGCAACCATAGGGCTTCCCATCTGTGTGAGTTCTCTGATGCTGGATCAATGGTGCAATTTGATTGAAGGTTGTCTCACAATGCATGTACTTATAAAGTTTCTCACCAGTGTGGATTCTCTGGTGTTCTATGAGTGCAGAGCTGTGACTAAAGGACCTTCCACCTTCCTCATATTTGTAGGATTTCTCTGTTGCATAGGTTTTCGGTTGTACATTTACTTTGGCATCTGGATTTTCCCTTTTTCCATGCATTCCCCATGTGTGGGAGCATTGTCTTTCAGGAGTCATGGGTTGAGTTGGGATATCTGGGTTCAGACTTAAGTTTTCCCCAAACCCATTCCCCAGTTGCTGCTCCTGAACAGATGCCTTCACAGGCTGGAAGTCCACCTGTACCACATCATCAAGACTCTCACAATTCTGTACCCAGTGGCCCTCAGCATCTTCACACTCAGAGCCTGGCAGACCATTCCACAGAAACCTTTCTACAAGGACATTGTTGGATATTTTTTCAGAGATGTCTTGCTTTGCAGCTGGCAATTTGGTTTTCAATCTAGTTTCTAAATCTGAAAGAAACAAAAAATGAAATTGTCCTGTAATTGCTGTTTTGGGGGGAATAGTTTATCTATGGATAGGTGGATGGAAGAATTAAAGCAAGTTTCAAAAGTTTCAAAATCCAAGTGACTTTGGCCATCTAACCATACAGTTTTGTAAACCAGAGAAGGAAAGAGGGAGGGGAAAATACAGAGAATAGGGAAGTCAATAGTATAAGGGGTACAAATGGAGATGACAAGGCAAGAACAGAGAATTTGGGCAGGAGAAGATGCTGAGGATATAGTGAGACTTCAGGGAAAATCTCACTAGATGCCCAGGCTTAGAGGGAGCAAAGTGATGGCCAGGACCCAGGAAACAGAGTCTACCACACTAGATGGTGATGGAGGAAAAGTCGCATGTGGGAAGGACCACTCAGCCTTCCCATTGCTCAGAATCTCTTCTTGGAGGCCTCTCACTGTTGTACTGCCTCACCTAAGATGTAAAGAAACCCAATCTAGAATCTGCTGAAATGTCAGTCACCAGAAGGATCAATAAATAACTGTGGTATAGCCCTAGCAGGTGTGGCTCAGTGGATTGAGAACCAGCCTGCAAACCAAAGGGTTGCTGGATTACCAGTCTAGGGCACACACCTGGGCTGCAGGCTAGGCTGCCGATGGGGGGCATGTAAGAGACAAGCACAGATTGATGTTGCTCTCCCTCTCTTCTCCCTCCCTTCTCCTCTCTAAAAATAAATAAATAAAATCTTTTAAAAAATTACTGTGGTATGTTAGAGCCCTTTGAGCTCATTTATTCTGTCTGTCTTCCTAACTGGGAGGATCCCATGGGCAAAGCCTTTGCCTGCCTTACTGACCACTGAACCCCCACCCTCAATAGGAGTCAGTGTATATGATGAATGAAAAACACATGCACTCCCTCTCCCTCCTTCCTGGCAGAATGGCCTTTCTGCCCTGGTACCAAGCCTCCACTGTTGACACTGGACTGGCCTAAGGGTATGATGTGGACACCTTTCCCATTTATGCTCCACTCTACTGAAAAGTTAAGAGGGGAAAATTAATCAAGTGCAGAATATTGTCTCCCAAAGGTATTCACATCCTGAGGCCTGCAACTGGTGAGTATGCGGTCAACTTACATGTGAATGAGAAACTAAAGTTGCTGATCGCCTGTGACTACTCTGGAGTTTTGGGATTTCCCCATGTAACCACAGGGTTCTTTTTCTTTTTCTTTCTTTTTTAATACTTTTAGAGAGAAGGGAAGGGAGGCAGAAACAGAAGGAGAGAAACATCCATGCCCAAGTGAAACATCTATTGGTTGCTTCTTGTACACCCCCAACCAGGGACCTGGCCCACAACCCAGGCACTAACTGGGAATAAGAACCTGAAACCCTTTGGTTCACAGGCATGTGCTCAATCCACTGAGCTATACCAACCAGAGCATTTTTAGTTATTTATTGTGTGTCCCTCTCCCCCACCAAGAATGTAAATCCAGGGAAGACTGGAACTTGGTCTCACTCAAAGCAAAATAGTGATTGGTGAATGTTCACTACAACAGTGAGTAGTCAGTTTTCTCTGAAGAATCTGAGATCAGATATAGAGAGAGACCCGTGGGGGTGAGTGGGGTCATTCCAGCCCTGAACACTGTCATCTTACCTGGACACACACCTTGTGGAACCTCCTCACCCACAGGCCATGGCTCTGCCTTCTGCTCCAGCAGGGAGATGAGCGGGGGCTTCGGGAGCCAATGTCCTGCTCAGAGTGAGATCCAGGCAGTAAGCATTTATGTCCCATGACCCAAACCTCTGCCCACTCTCCCTTCACTCTTTCAGGACCCACGTGGCTGAAAACCAAAATAGGCCAGTTATTATGGTGGACATGTGACCCAGATCTGGCCAGCCAGTGAGAGATCTGCCTCTTCTGCTGCATGCTGGTAGCAATGACCCGTGTGGAGGGGATGTAGTGGCTGAAAGAAGACAACCCAGGGTCCTCTGATGTGCACCCTGGATACACTCTTTATTGCCTGTCTTGGAGCCAGGAAGATGTCATTTCGGCTTCAGAGGGTTCAAATGTGAGCAGTGGCAGAAAGAGGTGCAGAGGGAGGCGGTGAGGAAGGAGCAGGCTCCTAGCAACACAACAGGAAGATCCAGGTCTGGCCTAGGATTCTGAAGTTTTAGGATGCAGTGTGTGTCTCTTACATGAGATGTCTTGTCTCTAGCAATTTCAGGTGAGATCTATAACAAGGCAAAATATCCTCATTGATATTCCCTAAACCAGAACAGCCTGGTCCCTCAGGTCCATGATACATTCAAAATACCTACTTTTAATTGGAGACTACCCCACTTTTAACCCAGGAAAATTAGAGTCCATATTGGGGGAGACCATGAGGGGCATGGGTATGGACTTACCCACAGACACTAGGAACCCGAAGGTCTCCAGCATCACATCACGGTACAGGGTCCTCTGGGCAGGTGTCAGCTGCCCCCACTCCTCCTGGGTGAAGTCCACGACCACATCCTCAAAGGTCACTTGCTCCTGGAACATCACACAGGAGTTTCCTCAGTCACAGTGAACCTGGCATTTGGTACTATGGGAATAGCAGGTGAACAGGGATATGTCCAAGTCAGGTGGGTGGAGATTCTCTCAAGTCTGAGGATTTGGGTCAGGTTTTTAGGTGAGGCCTGGGGTCTGGGCAGTAGTAGGGGAAGGCAGCACCCCAAAACTGTTAGGCTGGAATCCTGCCTCATGCTTGTGGTCAAAATAACAACCTGACATGTCTAAGACATGTGCACAATGAATGAAATTAAGCCCTTGAAAAAAGAGAAATTTAAAAAATCTTTGGGATGGAGATCTTTCTAACCCTAATCCTTTATCTTTATGTTTTGCAAAATATAAATTACCCCAAAGTTAGTGTCTTAAAACAACGGCCATTTATCATCTCATTGTCCTGTAGGTCAGAATTGAGCACAGTATGGGTGGGTTCTCTGCTCAAGTCTCACGGGGCTAAAATCAAGGCATTAGTCAGAGTGTGTTTTATCCAGGGGCTCTGGGGGGGAAAATATGTTCCCAGAGCCATTCTTGTTGTTCACAGAAACAGTTCATGAGGTTGTAGGATTGAGGTCCTGCTATCCTGCTAGCTGCTGGTCAGAGGTCCCCCTTAGCTCCTAGAAGCCGCTCCTCAATTGACAGCTCACAGCAAGGATATGTGCTTTCTTTTGGGCCAGTCAGAATGTGTCTCTCCAACTTCCTCCTGCAACCAGCCAGGCCAGGGAAAAACACTGTGCCTTTCAAAGGCTTGTGTGATTACGTCAAGTCTACCTAGACCACCTCCATTTCTTCAGGCCAGTCGTGTTATAACATAATGTAGTCACTAGAGTGCTATCATTGTATGAACAGGCTCTGGGCATTATGCTTGCACATAATAGAGGTTGGAAATTTGGAGCCCATCTTAGAATTCTGATGACCACACTTCTCTCCAAAAATGAAATGAGGTGTTCAATTAAAAAGGTGTGAACTGGACACTTGGGGGCAATGCTGTCTAGACCCTGTACCCAGCCCCAGGCATCTCTTTAACTGCTATGTGCCTCCCTGCTCTCATCTTTAAGTTAATGAGAACTCCAAGAGGCCTGTTGGGAGGAGTGAAGGAATTAATGCGAAGTGTGTATCCTGTGCACAGTGCATAGTAGGTGCCTTATCTGTGGGCATCACTCTTAAGACTGGTTTGCTGTGGACTCACGAGGTTTTAAATGTCTTTCATTAACTTTCCCTATTTTCACCACATTTTCCACATGTACTAGGTTTCCCTCAGTGGTTATTTGGGGTACTACTGAGTGCAAGTCACGGTTCTGGGCACAGCAGGCGCTGTGGAAACAAGAGGCACACATACAAGCCCAGTGGTGTTTGTATGCCGGTTGCAGGGACAGGGAGCTAGCAATCTAAAATCCCAGGAGGGTCAGTGCTCTGGAGAAAATGGGAGGATTGCTGCTGGGCCAGCCACTCAGAGATCTGGAAGAAGTCATGAAGGTAACAGGATGTGTGCTGGGCATTATGGGCTCCAGAGTGGGCAGATGTCTGGGCCCTCCTCAAAGTGGTGAGAACTTAGGAGATGACTTGTTCATGTACCTTGATTTCCACCTCATTCCACCTCATAGAGCTGATACAGGGGTTGATTAGGGTCACATGTGTCCAACACTGACCACGGAATTCAGAATGTTCATTTTTCCACCTATTCGTAGATTGCCTACTCTACATAGAGTGTTTGCTGGGCCTTTGCAAATGGGAAAAATGGCCAGAATTACTTCCCAGGCGCCAGGCATCTGCTCTAGGAGACCTTGTCCTCAGTCTTCCTGCTATGTGTGTGCCTGCCTTTTGTGAAAAGTGCTTGGTTTGGTCCCATTCAAGCCCTTTGTTCATGCTATTC